CCTGTCTGCTGACAGTCATCAACTTTTCTCTCTAGTTATCCTTGACCAGATGTACCCTGTAGAAACTCATAAGCATGACTAAGCATTTAACAGTCTAACTAGACATCCTATCTCCACTAAACATTTTTGATACATAAAGTATCTATCCAATATCTATCTGACTAAAAATACCTAACAAAATAGAGATGTTTCACTGAATATTCCTCAAAATTGCACTTAAGTAGCTTCTGTAATTGGGTCAATGTACTTAGTTCCTTTCCAGCACTGCCAAGCAGAGAATATTTCCTGCCCGTGTGCATGCATGCTCGTGGGAAATCAGTGACTATCAGTGCCAATAAACTTATAAGCAAACCTAACATTATTGTGTTCATCCTCTGTAGTCTTTTAATGCAGGATAACTAAGACTTATGCCTTGGCAAAATATTCCATCTAGATATTCATATTTTGAAGTTCTTCTTGATAGGATTCATTTTGAATAGCAACCTCCTTTACTGGGCAAAAGCATTTGGCACATGCACACTTATTTTTTTTCACATGCTTATAACTGAACAACCAGCATGAAGACTCCACTAGATAGGTTCTCGCAGACTCCCACCTGGAGCATGTTTTAAAGCTAGGACTGTGAGCCTGTACAGCTCATGGATATGAGGCTTGTTCTATTGGTGATCTAGTCATTCTCTTCTTTTTTGAACGTTTTCACATTTCCCCTGCTTATGATTTTGATACAGTAGCGGTAGGCGCTCAGAAATCGTGTCTGACTTAGCTTAAAAGCCATGGACATGATGGCCATGCCAACAATTATAAAGAGTGAGGTAAGCATGAAGTACTTGGGGTGTTTGGGTACAATGTCACCAAAACCGATGGTAGTGAGCGTGATGAAGCAGAAGTAATAAGGGTCAAAGCCCTTGAATTCAGTTTCCCACAGTGGCAGAAACAGGCCACCAAACACAATGTAGGCAAACACAATTAAAAGAATAAGCAAACAGGGTACATCCAGTGTTTCCATTCCATCCCCTAACCCTGTGAAATCCCATATGTCATATCCTTTCGATGGTGGTGGCAGCTGTTCTAGTTCTGGGCAGGAGAAGGTCCTGAGCAGTGGACCCTTTCTGAGTAAATTCTCCCTGGCAAGAATCTTCTCAAAGATCTCTTTGTTGTTTTGAAGCTGGATGGACTTGTGTCGTACATCCGCCTGGCTATGCAGCACCTGCCGGATGTCTAGGGGTTCACGGACCACAATGTCATGGCTGAAAACAAAGGTGCCATCGTCCAGGGCCTGGTGACTTGATTCCACTGCCCTCTTCCGAGCCTTCCGTGGTGACCAGGTGTGGGAGTGAAGGATTTTGCAGAGGGAGTGAATGTGGAGGTACGCTCTGGACATCAGTACAGCAAGGAAGTCTCCCACATCGAGAATGACCAGAAGCATGAGAGGGATGCCGAACATGGCATAAAAGACACATGCCAACTTACCAAGCAGGGTAACTGGATAGATCTCCCCATAACCTGCAATAATAATGGAGAAAAGTGACTCTTTATTAATGTGAAGCAGAGGCACCTGTAGGATTTAAAGACTTTTTTGGCACAGCTTATATCCTTGGATGTGATAATATACTGCCATTCTAGACACAGCAATTACACTGAGGTTTATGTAACTTGACTGTTAGTCTTTTAAAACATCTGTTTTAACCACAACTGTAAATGTTTTAAGCAAAACTATATTTTTGCAGTCCTGTCAAATTGTGCCAAAGATGGGAACACAACATTGATAAGGTTAATTTATGATCAGTGTATTATCAATCAAAAACAGAATGATGGGGAATTATTGTTAAAACAATGCTCATTTTCAGTTTTACCTCAGCATGATTTAGTCAATCTGGCTGCACAGGTGGCTACTTTAGAACCTGTCTGATCATCTGATTGCTCCTGCTTCTTGCCACTTTAGTTATTTTCATTTCTTGTCCTTTTGGAAATTCTGTTTCTGTCTGTGACAACTGTCAGACAAATACATTAACATGAACGAACACTTCAGTTACAGACAAGTATCAAACATGATATAACACTGATATAGCAATGTTACAGTGTTCCTATATTTCAGGAGTTATTTAAGTACATGTGTAATATACGTAAATATAATTTTATAGAAAGGCACATATGAAAACAAAACCCAAGTTGTAATACTTGGTATTATCTTTTAACTTGCTTTTTGTCATCTCAACATGAAAAAACTAGTCTCTCTGTTGTTTCATATAGTGTGTGGAACACTTTTGCTCATCTATGTTATTTTCAAGCAATCCACAGTGGCAAGAAAAGTATGTGAACCTTTTGGAATTTCATGGTTTTCTGCATTAATTTGTCATAAAATGTGATCTGATCTTCATCTAAGTCAAGAGTACGAACAATTATAATGTGGTCAACCAGTTATTAATTTCAGGGGTTACTTACTTTTTCCACTACCATTCTGAATGTTGAATGACTGTGTTCATTAAAGACATGAAAGATCAGAATTGTTTTTGTGTTGTTATTTTAGGCACATTATATTTGTCAATACTCTTGACTTAGATGAAGATCAGATTACATCTTATGATAATTTAATGCAGAATACCATAAAATTCCAAAAGGTTCACATACTTTTTCTTGCCACTGTATATATAAATCCACCCATTATTTCTACAAATCATCCTATAGAGGATAGCGGGGGCCTCGGGCCTATCCCAGCTGAGACTGAGCACGAGGAAGGCTACACCCTGGACAGATAGATAGTTGATCGCAGAGCTGACACAAAGGGTAAATCCCATTTCCCTTATTTGATCATTCCTTGCACCTTAATCATTGCTCGACCTGGAAGTCATTCCAGGTAAAGGTCGTCCCAAAGCTTATATTCCTGCCCTGAGGATTGAGGAGCGAGGAGGTTGCGTGGAGGAGCCATGAGCGAGGACACAACAGACCGTTCTTTGTGGAGGTTTCTTATGGACCAGCATGCCCCTTAATTGGAAATTAGCTGGTTTTGGACACAGATGAAGGAAAGACCATGTTATGTCTCTTAAAATGCATTTCCTTGATTTTTCTCTCCTCATATTTTTTTAAAACTTGTATTGTTAGTGGGCACAACTCGGACGTAAGAAAAAGAGGCAAGTGAGAGAAACATGGATGCACTTACTGTAAGAGAACTGAGATTTACCTATACTGTCACTTCATTGTAAGAAAATTCCAGCTTCAAAGCCTTTCTTTGTGGAGCCTGCATGGGTTTTATCTCCCAGGTTCCTCCTTTAGTTCAGTGACATGCAAGTTGAGTTGACTGATGACACAAAAATGCCTGTAGGTTTGAATGGCTGCCTGTCTGTACACCACTGTGGTGTCCTACATTTACACACTAACAGTAAAAACTAATGTAAAATTACATTACAATAAATGTATCTAAGTAAAATATTGTACAAACATCCATTGCAGAATCAATTGTACGTGCACTGTAATCAATTAATTTAAAACATTCTACGTTTTCAAACAATGTAAAGTGATACAGTGACAGAATGTAAAGGACTGATTTGACACAGCTGCTCTCCACTTGGAAACCTTGAATGATGAACTTTACTTTTCAAAAGTTGTCAGACGAAGTGAAGGTGTAGATGCCTTATAGTCCTATTATGCTGGTTGGAGAGAGTTGAATGAAATGAATCACAAAAAAGAGCACAGAGGACAATGTGTCTCTGATCTCTAACAACTTCTAATAGCTTTTTGCGGTGATGTAAAAAGCTCTCTGCTGAGACTGCTTTCTCTTCAGTAAGTTGTGGGCTTCCTGCTACTGATAAGCCATTAGCCATTAGCTGACTTCTCCAGCCCACTTATCATGTAGAGTATATGAAAGTTATATATATGATGAATAGAAAATGTCCATCTGCCTTGTACTTGCTGAGATTTCTTGCTCTGCAAATGCTGGACAACAGATAGACTGACCAGGATCCTTGTAGGAAGTTATATGTTAATGCGGTGCCCTACTAATACAAAGGAATGTCAAGCAACAAGTCAATCATCACCCAGCAGGGAAACGCCAACAGGCCTGCCAAAGACACATTCACTAGTCTGGATAGAGGAAGAACAGTCTGATACCCTGTGATTTGATTTCAGTTTTGATTTCTTAGTAGCAAACACTTAAAATCCACAACTATTCCCATACATTACACAACACACAGAAGGATATCGGAAATATTACAACAACAAAATGGAAAACTGAAATCCTTTGTCCATCAGAAAAGCTACATCCCGGACAGGTCACCAGTCTATCACAGGGCCCCAATCAAAATACACTGCTCAAAAAAATGAAGGGAACACTTAAATCACACATCAGGTACTAATGAAGGAACTATTCAAGTTGAAAAACTTTACTAATGTCCACTGTATAATTAGTTCAGAACAAAATGACATAACAGTCAGTGGAATCCAAAATCATCGACCCATGGAGGCTGGTTTCAAAATCAGAGTGAAAAATTGAAATCACAGGTTCATCCAAGTTGAGTGAATTTCATAATGTGACTCAGAAGTGTGTATGACCCCCACGTGCCTGTATGCACCCCCTGGTCATGCTCCTGATGAGTTGGCGCATGGTGTCCTGGGGAGTCTCATCCCAGACCTGGATCAGGGCATCAGTGAGCTCCTGGATACTCTGTGGTGGTACTTAGTGCACAATACATAATGCCCCATAGGTGCTCAGTTGGATTTAGGTCAGGGAAATGTGAGGGCAGTGGCAGTGGTGAACATCAGTGGCATCAATGCCTTCGTCATCCAGGAACTGCCTACACACTCTGGCCACCTGGGCATTGTCCTGCACCAGGAGCAACCCAGGGCCCACTGCACCAGCGTAAGGTCTGACAGATGCTCTCAGGATTTCATCCCAGTACCTCACAGCAGCATAGATATGAACAATTTTTGTACTACTATTAACTCCGTAAGTTCTTTTTACTATTGCATTTTATAATATGCTGCAAAAATTCCTGCACACTGGTTAAACAACTGTTCTGCCACTTCACAGATTTACAGAATATTTTCTCTACTGCTAATACTACAAATTATTTTATTTGCATACTGCAAATATTACAGATCACTCTTGCACTGCTGAACTTGTTCTTTTGGTCTTTTGGTATATACTGTATTTGCAATCACCATACCCACCTTAATGCATAGCTAGTCTATTGCTTAATATTTTTAATGTTGTATATTTTAATACTGTGCTACACTAATGCAACAAAATTTTGTTCTATGTACACTTGTATATCTGAATGACAATAAAGTCTGTCTAAGTCTAAGCCTCTCCGTTATGTGATCTGCTCTGTGTACCTGGAAGCCCGGTATTTGTATTGCACTGTCCAAGATGGAATCACTGAGCAAGTCTCTGTGAAGCAGAACCTGAGAAGTCAGAGTTAGTCTGGATTTGATTTGATTTATTCTTTCAAGCATGTAAAAACAGTTGATATGACAACACACATAATTTTACACATAATCTAATATCAATTTGCTTATACCTAGTACATGCTTGAATGGAGTAGGAAGAAGTCAGACTTATCCAGTCCTACCCCATGACATCATCTTACAATCATTGGTTTGCAATCAGTGAATGATTCACTTCTGCCCACACACATATTATACTAAAAAAAGATTATAACAGTGTTAGCATTAATACATCACACAAGTAATATACTAAAGAATTATTACAAAGTGTACACCACACTCACAATGTTTCATCTAATTAATCATTAAGCCTGTTCTTGCATATATCTTGATTGACACATACCTTTATATTTGTGTTTAAACTCATCAATTCTAGTACTATTTTTTATGTCTACACTTAAATTATTCCATAGTTTTACCCCAC